GGCTGACATTTCCATCAATGGAACCATATCCCCAGCATTGCTAAAGTTGTATATGGTACACACATTGTATGATATATAGCATACATATTTAAACAGGTAACATTTCCAAATGACCTCCTCACACGTTTGTTGTCTTGTGAATAGTCCTGGGTTCAGAATGTATAAAACTTGGAGAAATGGTTTTAAGAATGGTCCCAATCTTTAATTTAGTAAGGAGCAGGACTTCAAGATTTGTAAAAAATAAGCTGTCCATGCTGTGTTCAAAATCCCTAGTTCATCCCATTTTAATTGTCAGGGTGTTTTTAGACAAAAGGAAACGATTGCCTTGTGTCATTCACACAAATCTGACCAGTGCACTGTTTATATTTATTAGTCCCTACCAGCAAATGTATCACCTGTACTAATGTTAGCTGTAAGCTAGCTAGCAACAGACATGTCACCGACCATGTCTGTGTGACTGAGTCTGTGTGTTTTTTTAGGGGTGGGGTGATGGGATAGATCCTCAAAATATGGATACTGCTGATACGTCTTGTCTTGTTTTGGGTATCAATACTAGCACCAATAGGACTCATACCAAAATAAAAAGGATCCATCACGTTAGATGATGTACAGGGCACGTGAACATTCTTCTTTGTGCATCTCTGCTGCTGGTGTGTGCATGTGTGTAGTGATCCTAATTCACAGCAGAGTTGTACGAGTTGTTGTTGCAGGGGGCTGCAGTCATCAGTGTACACCACGAACAGGAGTGGGCTGAGCTCACAGCCCTGAGGTGCTCCGGTTGTTGAGCACTAGAGTGGAGGAGGTCCAAATCTGTCTGTCGGTCTGTTTGTGAGGAAGTCTATTATCCATTTAATTCCCTTACATGATAGTATATAAGCTGTTAGCAATTAAAAGTATTGATATGGTCCTGGTATTAGTTGGTATCGCATTGAAACCACATTTTGTTGTATCACCCACTCCTAGCGCTGGTTTTGAGCTCACCCTGAACACTTTAGTCACCAGACTCTTCACTTCTTTTTGTTATTTCCCTCCATTCTCTGTCCTTTCTCCTCCAGTCTTTGTACGTTTACGAAGCAGATTCATTAAGCCCGGGGTACATGCAGATTTTCAATCAAGATGAAACATTTTCATCTCATGAGGACATTGTGTCAACTGGACCCGCCTCAGGCGAATTCATGTCTAATCACATATTTCCATAGACTTTGTATGCAATCACGCCACCTCTAAAATTTGCTTTGCCTTATGTTTGAACACAGAGTAATGGTGTGAACAGGTTTTTATTTGATTAAAGCTGTATTTACATGTCCATATGATTGTTGAAAGGCTTGTTGGAAGTCTGGAGGATGCTGTAGCCAACTCAGACTGCTGAAGCCTCATTTTAGTTTCAGTTGAACTTTAGAGCATATTGTTATAAATGACTGTGGATTTTGTCCCCCAGCTCAAGTAAGCACTTCACAGACAGTTTAAACAGCAGGAATTATTACAGTGACCAATAACTCTTTCTTTGTACAATGTGACTGTTGTATAACTTCAAGATAGACTCAAATCCAACAATCCTTTAACTCTCTACTACAGATTTTTGTGTCACATTGTCTTTCTTCAAAGTATTTTCTCTAAGAAGCTTTGTCCACACAGCATTTCTTCTAGCTGTGATGTAATTCAGTTTCTCTCCAGGGAGCAGTAATTGTTATGTTGCTGAATTAAGCTCTGTTAAGTAGCTTCAGCCCAACCACTGTTTGCATGTGCACAAACACGTTCAGCTGTTGGCACTGTTGCTCACGAGCTGAGGACCTTCAGCATGGCTACCAGAGGGTTCGCTATCAACACCTGAAGGTCGTATGTGTGAAATCTGAAGCCTCTAAACTGCTGCAGCTAAGGAGTATCTGAGGCAGATGTGAGCCACGCAGTTAGAACCCTCACACTGACACTTTCCACTCCCTACTATCAACCATCAGACATGATTACAGCCCTCGCTCCATGATCCAGTGGCTGTCTGAGCCCACTCCTTTGATTTCTCATGATTCTCTCCTGCAGCCACAGTAATCAAACAAGACGCTCAACTCAGACAGAGACTTGACCCTGGCGCGACATTTGTTAAAGTCATACTGCAAATGGGAACAATTTGTCAAACATCTTCTATTTTATTCAGAGGGAATGAGGACGTTTCACCAGGAACTGCTTTCTCTCAGGTCATATTTTACTGCTGACTGGCGGTAAAGGCAGAGATTTATTCAGTCATTTATTCATCTATGGGGGCAATACAAACAGTACTGTAGATATCAAGAACATTAATAACCTTCCGTTAGTGATGGCTGTGACCAAACAGGCAGTCAGACCATTACCAGGATGTAAGAAAGTAAAGCAATTTAATGACATCAAAAAACACCAATTAACATTCTTAACATGCAATGGCTGA